CACTAAATTGGAAATGTCCCCATTTCCCATTTCAGAAATGGTCTCCATGTAGTAACCAGGGTTATTATTGTTAACTCAAATGGAAACCATTAAAAAATAATTTAAAAAACAAAAATTAAAGCAAGTTCAACATTTCCTTAGACATTCTTTAACTAAAAAGTCACAAAAACACTCAACAAAATCACCAACTAAACTTTAAAATGAAAAAATCTAATTCAAAATATTAACAAAAACGTTAACTGAAACTAACTGTTAAAACCGTTAAATAAAAAACTGATATTAACACTGGGTTTAAAAAAAAAAAAAATGTTGGCAACAATAATTGTACTGTTTCAAATGTCACGTGTGTGAATGGCTGCTAGGCTAGACTCACCCAGTGTTGCCAAGTATTTGGCTAATTTAACACTGTTGCCCGGGTTGTTTTTCATGTCCGCGGTTTGAAGCGACTCCAATAACATGATATTTATCCTCTGTAATGCGAATTTTAGCAGGGGAACCCCGCCAAAAAAACGTGTATTTACCCACCGGAACTCGATTTTTAATAGGGTACCCCCTCGAAACGCGATTGGGCGGGTTTTCTTGTGAAAACCTGGCAACCCCGGACTCACCGTCTGGCCGCCTGCTTGATGGTCTCTCCTAGCTGGACTTTCCCTCCAAACCCATTCCATTTGCCAGCTCCAAAGCCTCTTTTCTTCATGCCCAACAACACCCGGCCGGGCTGCACCACAAGCACCAGGGTCAGCAGTTTATTAGTCAACATCTCCCTATAAGTTACATAAATATAGTGTCTTTAATGGGTAGTAGACTTCCTTTAAATTGACGCTCATCTCCATTATACAGACAGTATGTTTTGACTTTATCTGCATTCAAAACATAATTAACTTTTCTTTACAGTCTATAAACATCAAGCGACAAATAATAATCGATCAGATAATCAACGATTAATATAAATCAGTACAGTGTGGCATCCTTGTATGCATTTAAATAAAACTGTTCACATCACAGTTACTTCTATCCAAATAATTTGCTTACTTTGTCCAAAGTAATAAGTAGAGACGAAAAATGTAATCACCTATACAGTTTAAAAATCAGATGCGTCAATATGCAGATATTTGTGTCTCAGTTTAATGAATTGTTCCCTAGTGTTGCTCGCAGTCAGATGATCACATGGAGGCTTCATATTGACAACAGTGAATTTAGTCATAATAGTCATTGACATATTATTCAGATTGTTATTTATCCAAATGCAACACATGGTTTACAGATCTGCGAAAATATATTAACTCAACCAGAGCTGGTTAACACCACCTACCTACGTGTGCAACAGTGAAATGTTCTCGATGGGAAAAGCGACTCATTTCTGTGAATCGGTTCTTTCGAACAGAACTAAACGAACTAAAAAATTCAGTTACATAAATCGGCTAAAAGTTTTTTTGTTTTAGCCAAACGGTAAACATAATTCAAGTACGCTGTATTTATAACATTTTTGTTTTATGTCTAAAGGTTATTTATTATTCCTCATTTCGCCTCACGTAAATCAGTGAAAAGATCTGACTTAAAAGAACGAGTCATTTAATCATAATTCGGAGTGTGCACCTGTCAAATATTCTCGACCAGTGTTGCCAATTTAGCAATTTTGTTGCTATATTTAGCAACTTTTCAAACTACCCTAGCAACTTTTTTTTTTTTTCCAAAAAGCACCTAGCAACAAATTTAGCTATATTTAAAAAGTTTTTGGCAACTTTTTCAAAGTGACTCAAATGATAAAAAAGGCACATATTTTCATCTAAATTACACAAAAAGAGGAAACCATTGAACAGCTAGCCAGCCAAGCAGCACATCAACCTGGAGAGAGCTGGAGAAAGATGCCTAACAGTACAAACATCAAATGTGCATTAAGTTGCTAGTCCGATTGGTCAATAATAAATGCACATTTATGATACAGCATGTTATTAGCTTGTATATATAATTGTTGTTCAGTTAGGTACACTGTAAGAAAAAAATATGTGGAAAGATAAATACGTATTGTTCCTTCATATAAACAGTACATTGTGTCCTATTTTTACAGACTTTTGTGTAGCACACCAACTACCAGTACACTGCTTAAAACTATAATTGTTCAGAATGTGCAGTTTTACTAGTTAATATTAAAATACATAAAATTTGTAACTGTTCAATAATTCAATGTTGTAAAAAAAAAATCCGATCATAAAGATGTGCTACTTATGTTACTTTTACAAATTAAAATATTTGATGTTTATAATATTTTTATGAACAAATAACATTTTAAAAATGTATTTTTCGCTGAGATTTGAGTATAATCGTTGTGTATTCTACGTAAAAACGCTGTTTTGTGTCATGGTTATGCAATGACGTTATCACGCAATGACATCACAATGACATTTAGCAACTTTTAGCAACAAATGGATCTGCCTTTAGTAACTTCCCCTGAAAATTAGTTGGCAACACTGTTCTCGACGGATACCGAAAGCAATCATTAAACAGAAAAACTAAAATATAACCGTCTATAACAGTGAAATGATCACTAACTGATGTATACATAAATGCATTTAATCTATGTAATTAATAATATACAGACAAATAAAGCACAAAAATGCGTAATTAAATGATTAGAAAGACTGCGCAAAGCACGCACATCTTTGATATCATGAGGACACCATACACTCTTAAAAAATAAAGGTGCTTAAAAGGTTCTTCACAGTGATGCCATAGAAGAACCATTTTTGGTTCCACAAAGAACCATTCAGTCAAAGGTTCTTTAAAGAACCATCTTTTTCTTACCTTTTTATAATCTGAAGAACCTTCTTTCGCCACAAAGAACCTTTTGTGAAACAGAAAGATTCTTCAGATGTTAAAGGTTCATTATGGAACCATTTAGACGAAAAGGTTCTTCTATGTCATCGTGAAGCACCTTTATTTTTAAGAGTGTAGACGCCCATGTGTCTCCTTGTTTTCATGTACTTAAGATCTAAATGTAATCTCTCCAGATCACTTCTTTGTAAATGATGTGGAAATGTATCCAAAGGTCGTGCATTCACGTGTCAGCGGTCTCTCTAAAGAAGACGCCTGTGCATATGAAGGGGAAGAGTGCTGCCGAGCAGAGATGGCTGGTGCGGCAGATCAGTGACACTTTCGTTAAAGCTGCTCACGTACAGAATTACCGCTGTAGAAGTGCCTTTAAACTGATCGAGATAGATGACAAATGCGGACTTCTCAAACCTGGTTTGAGTGTCATAGATTGTGGTGCTGCTCCTGGTGTATGGAGTCAAGTTGCAGTCCAGAGAGTCAACTCAACAGGAGAAAGTAAGTGAGCTGCTGAATACATCACATCATGAGATCTATGCATGTCATCTTAGGATACATACACTACAGCTAAAACGTTTTGTTTGTTTTGAAAGAAATGAATAGTTTTTGCTCAGCAAGGATGCATTCAATTGATCCAAAGTGACAGTAAAGACAATTATTTGTACAAATAAATGCTGTTTTCAAATTCAGCTTTGCATCACAGGAACAAATTACATTTTAAAATATATTCTAATTCAAAACAGATATTTTAAAGAACAGTATATTCCTGTTTTTACTCTAGTTTTTGATCTAATAAATACAGCCTTTCTAAGCATAAGAGACTTGCTTTTCTCAAAACATTAAAAAAAAAATCTTACTGACTTTTGAATTGTATAGAAAGCACATGTTACCAGTCAAACCTTTTGAATACACCTTTATCATTATATTCTGTAGGTATTATTTAAAATTTTAGAGTAATGGTAAAGTCATTAACATTATGAACTGCCACACATGTAAGTATGAGAATTTGTAGTGGGAAAAAAAAAAAAATATATAAACCTTTTTTTTTTTCTTCCCCAAAATAAATTACATGCATCCTGTACACTTGTGTCTTTTCTTAACTATCCAACCCAATCATTATTATTATTATTATTATTAATACTAATAATCATAATAACATATTAATATTATTAACATTATTTTGAAGTAATTCAAGCATAGGTACAATTTATACTACAGAACTAATATCAAGCATATATGAGCATCCACTTTTTAAGATTTAGATAGATAGATAGATAGATAGATAGATAGATAGATAGATACTCATATTTAGAACCTATAACCTGTTATGTTAAATATTGGTTTAGGTGTCATTTTTTTCATAGCTGATGAGGATATGAACAACATACCTTTGTTCATTCCAGGTGTGGATCTTCCTAAAGGAAGCGTAATAGGAATAGACATACTACGCATCGCCCCTTTGGATGGAGCTCAGTTGCTGTCCAATCATGACATCACTGAGCCCTCAACTCACATGGCGCTGGAGAGGCTCCTCCCTGAAGCTCAAGCAGATGTCATCCTCAGTGACATGGCCCCCAATGCCAGTGGGCTCAGGGAACTGGATCATGAAAGATTGGTCACCATGTGTCTATCAGTGTTGGACTTAGCTGACAAGGTTTTGCGCCCCGGAGGCTCTTTGATTTGTAAATACTGGGATGGAGCTTTGGCCCGTAAGCTCCAGCAGAGGCTTTCCTCAATGTTTCAAAATGTAAGAACTGTAAAACCAAGAGCAAGCAGGAAGGAGTCAGCAGAGCTTTTCTGTCTGGCGAGGATGTTCAAAATGAGATAGAAAGTCTTTTTCATGCAAATGCATTTTTAACATATTATATTTTATGCCTATATGTATTTTATAAAAGAAAATAGTTTTGTTCCTATTATGTATTAAAAAATAATAATAAAAAAAAAATAAAAACTTGCCTGCAACAAGATTCAGTGCATTAGAAACCAGAAACTCAATACAGACCTTGGATATAAATGCTACAGCAGAATAATTTGATTCAGGTGTTAAATATATCATTATGTTGAGTCAGATTTGCATATGATTTTCAGTCTATCAGGGTGGCTTAGCAGTGTTAAAATCTGTATTTCAAATCATTTTATAAAGACATGATGGGCATGCATCTAAATTGCTTTTTAGTGAGTACTTACATAATTATAATGTATTTTTTGTTTCCTTCTGTTAATAATTAAATCCCCACAAAAGCACAGAGTATAATAAAAAAAAAAAGGAGAAATATTTACTCGTATATGATTTGATGGATTAGATCAGTGGCTCAGAAATGGTGGTCTGTGAAGGATTCCAAGTGAGTTTTTTTGGCTAATCAAAAAATAATAAGCTAAATAAATTATAAACTAAAATAATTATAATTGACATAAAAGCACCAACTCATAACAATTAATTAATAGTTATACAATATAAATAGTTATATAATAGAATGAATTATGTAACAATAATAATTTAAGTCTGTGTTCCCTTCGATAGACCTTAGTCAGGATAGTGGCATATTAGATTTTTTCAAGAATTTAAATATTTAACAATCTAGTAGGTTATAAATGATTATCTATCCATCCATCCATCCCACCTGTCGCAAAAACTCAGTGACTTCTCTTACAAAACGTAATTTTTTTCAGTGTAAATTCTAAAAATAGTTCAATCCAAAAGTATTGTTTAGTGTAAAACATGTTGAAGATTAGCCGATAGGCTGTCGAATCATTAAATGATAAGCTGTTTCCTCTAAAACGCTGTTTATTCAGTGTAGTGAAGCCTCTCCTCCATTGACATCCATTCAAAAAAAAAAAAAAAGGCCTCTGGTCTCCTTTCCCACATACTGCCAAAGCTGAAGCGCGTAGCTTTGGGTTCAAGGTGTGTTTAATTAGGGTAAGAGCTAAACTCTGCAGGACACCATCCCTCCAGGAACAGCATGCACAAAAAAATACAATGGAAGTCAATGGGAATTCTTTGGTTACCAACATTCTTCAAAATATCTTCTTTTGCGTTCAGCAGAAAAAAAAGAAATGCATACAGGTTTGGAATGACATGAGGGTAAATGATTTTCATTTTTGTGTGGACTATAGCGTTTTAAGAAACAAGCTCATTTTAAAGCTTAATTTGTATTATTTTAAAATATTTTCAGTCATTAAGGCAGCCTAATGGGCCTCGGCGCTCTGGTTCACTATCCTAATGAGATTGGGATGTTAGGTACCCTGCAATTTTGTTTTTACTCTTGAAGAGTTCCGCCACCTAAACAAGTGCAAGAAACGCTGGATTGGAAGATATTCAGCTTGTCAGAAGATGGCGCTCTTGAGTTGTCAGCGTGAAAGCAGCAGACTAATATTTGGACTCGGACTCTCTCACACACACCCACACACACACACCCCAGCAGTGTGAAGAGACAGCGTGGACCGGCTGTTACTGGGAACATTTTATTCCAGACCGTTTGAGAGTCGAGTGCTCGGGAGTTAAAAATCCAGCATTGTCATTTGCATTTTAGCAAACTCTTGAAGTGTGGCTTATTTGACAACACTTTAATTTTGCGTTTCCCTAACCGGAAAGCTAAATTGTTTACGCAATACCGAAAATCAGTTTTTCTAGCTGTGTGGAAACTAAGATGCAATCATTCTCTCATTATAAGCCGAGGAGCTGCAGAGAGGATGGATACGTGTCTTATAGACAGTATGACTAATGAGAATCCTTTGTCCCTGTAGCAATGCAGTCTAGCAGATATTAGCCTGACACATTATTATCTCAGACACTCGCTGTCTACAGTCCAGCTGTGAATGACATCCAGCTTGTGCTGCATGGAGAGTTTAGACCTAACCTTTGGTAATATGCGGAATAGAAACATTAGAGATAATAAAATGAGGTTTAATGATTCATAGAGGTTAGATCAGATTATATTCATCACTGAGGCCTCGTAGAGTTTTATGGTTATACACTGCTTTGCCAATAATGCTAGAACTCCTCAAACTTTAAGTATAGCTCAAACTGTAGGCTGTAGGCTTGATTCGAAAGCACTAGAAAAAGAATGTCAGGTTCGACTCTGGATTGCTCTAATCTCAAACTCAGGGAATCTTCAGCTGAGAGACTCAAACATACCTAAATGAATTCTACCTGCAGATCTGGCGCTTTTATATTCGACTGAGCTACAGTATGGAAATTTTTGCAACCGCACTCTTTAATCTGAGCTCCTGTGTCAGCAACATGTTTAATGTGTGCCACTTCGGTCAATTTGAATGCTGTGGTTTTTGAACGCTCTGACGTGTATCAAAGGCGTAGGCTTGAGGGACAATCCACTATTGCGTCAGTGACATGTCAAAAGAGCCTGGAGAATTCATTATGGAAGATTAAGGAATTTATTTGAGAGCTTAGTTTTATATGCCTGTTAACGGTTATAAAAGTGGAGACTAGTGTCTGCAGGGGTTCAGCCACACGTGAGTCATATGGAAATACAAGTGATCAAGCTACATTTATAATAGCTTTTTTTTGGGGTCCCTGAAGTTATCGCTGATTTTAGAACCCCCTCTCTTTTATTCTTTCTTTAAGGTTAATTGCTGTTAACCCACATCCTTCTGGTTTCTTGGAACATCTCAAATTCTCTTAAAGGTCAGAGATCAGGCACTCCAGTTCACTGTAATAATGCGCCATCTAACATTTTGACAGACTTGAATCTAGTTGGATAGCAAAAAACTTTTGGCAAAGCTTTTTACTCAAGTTTTTAAGGTTGTGCACCATTAAGAATTCATTGAACATGCCTTTATATTTGTGGATTTCGAACTGAATTTGTATTTAGGTAGTATTTTGTAATTCAAATTTAAGGCTGTAGAATTAAAGTTGTAAATAAATAAAATTCAAAGGGAGTCATGTAACTTTTGTTACATATGAATTGCCCATAAACATGTTATTAAATGCACAGAATTAGTAGTACTTCCAGGAACATAAATTTATATTTCATTATATTTAATCAATAATTTTCATTTTTTGGAGCATGCAGAAGAACACTTAATTTCCAAGTATAAATCATTTCAGCAATGCCCATTTAAGCCTCAGGAGTTGAACACTTATATTGAAAACCTGAGGTCTGAATTGAAGATCAGGCTACTAATACATCGAAGAACATAAAGGAACCTCACATGTTTTGCCTGGACAAACTCTTAACTGTTCACATGTTGTTACTCTCTGTAGGGATGTGGGTTAAAAATATTAATATACACAACTGTTTAAAAGTTTGGGGTCGATATCATTGTTTTTTCACAAGTCTCTTATGCTCACCAAGGCTGAATAAACAGTAATATTGCCAAATATGATTACAGTTTACAATAAACTTGATCCTTCAGAAAGTATTCTAATATGCTGATTTTGTGCTCAGTTAAGAAACATTTCTTATTATTATGAAAACAGTTGTGCTGCTTAATACTTTTGTGGAAACTGTGATTGTGCATTTTTTCAGGATCCTTCGATGAATTGAAAGTTCAAAAGAACAGCATTTATTTATTTATTGCAACATTGAAAATGTCTCTATTCTCTCTTTTGATCCATTTAATGCATCCTTTCTTAAAAAGTATTAATTTCTTTCTAAAAACTATAAAATACAAAATATAGTTTTCCATATGTGTTGATAATTTAGCTTATTCAGTTCTGCTAATTTACATTCCAGAGCTGATATTATATTTAGGATTGCTTCACAGTACAAAAAACTTAAAACATGAATTAAAAAATCTGATATCATGTTTATTATTGCAGTTTTTCCTATTTTATCAGTTTATCCAATTTTACATAATTCTCCAAAATAAGATGAATTTCCAATACTCTCAAAACAGTAATCTGTTCATAATTCTTCTAAACAGGATGTAAATTATCGTTCAATACAAATTAAAGATTTATTGGCACACTACACATCAGTTTCCACCTCAAGGCTCATGCTGGCCAAAAGATAACACAAAACTAAAGCAAAGCCATATTCTCAAGTGCACATCATGTTGTCAAATGTCATTGTATTGATTTCTGCTGTAATACACACAGCACAGGAAATGCAATTTACTAAATTGTTCAGTCATACCTTTTCTTTCCATAAAAGTGACCACCCAGAGCAAAGAAACAAGGGAGTACACTGGAGAAACAAGAAGAAGGTTGTGTAGCACTGAGAATAGATGGAGGAAAAAGCAAAAGAGGAGTTAGTGAGAGATGGACAGCAGAGAAGAGTCTCAAATGAGATGAGAGTCACTCTAAGTGACCATTTTATGAATCATGGTTGGACAGAGGGTTCAGCTCAGTGTCAACAGCTACTGTGACTTCAGTATCAACAAAAAAAGAAAAAGGAGAAGAAAGGGGAATGTCATTGGTCAGTCAATGTCAACAAAGACCAAGCATCATCATCTGTGATGTGCAAACCTTTTGACAAAGTAATTCTTCTTCAAGCAATAGCAGAGGCCTGATACTGTATATGGGTGTCAAGATTTAACTTTCACACCATTTTTTCTTAGATGCATCTGAAAAACGTGTGATGTGGAGATTTCATATGTATATTCAGTGGCAGGAACATGTTTATGGGCTTTTCGAAGTTGACTTCTCGTGGATATTTGTTTTTCTGCAGTATGCAACACATAGATGTCCATGACATTCTTTACTATTGAAATAAAGGTTCTTTATTGGCATCTTTGGTTCCATGAAGAAACTTTAACATCCATGGATACTTTCCATTGCACAAAACGTTCTTTGGTGGAAAAAGGTTCTTTAGATTATTAAAGTGTTCTTCACACTAAGAAAGAAATGGTTGAATTGTTCACTGTAATGTTCTTTGAGGGACTCTATGGCATCACTGTCAAAAGCCCT